CTCGCATTACTTTCTAGAGCGTAATTCATTAAAAATTAAAACTCATTTCAGAAGGTCTAGGGATAGGAGTATTTAGCTGAAGAGCTTCTACTAGTGCTTCTTCATGGGTTGAAGATGAACCAACAGAAGTTTTGGATGGGCTCGATATTCTAGGAATATTTATCGATCTTCAAGGATTAAATCTTACTTCAACATCTCTATCAAATGTTTTATCTGATCGATGTTTAGATTTATAATTAGTTTTGGAGTCAAAGGCTGATTGCATAGTCTATGACTCATAGAATGTTACCTCGTTCCATTTAATAGTTTTATTAGTGGCTAAATGGGAGGCTAAAATGTTAATTTCAATTAAGGTAGTTTTTTCAGAATTCTAAACACCAAAGTTATGGTTTCTGATTCTAGGAGAAAATCATAACCATGTAACTGTAGTTGGAGTTTCACGGCTTCAAATAGGTAGACGTCCGTCAAAGATAAATACAAATTAAGAAAGGTCTTGAAATAGACTGGCTTGTGGCTCAGACTAGCTTCAATGACGCTTATGAGAGACTGTGTCTACTTGAGACGTCTAACATCTCTCAAACAAGCAATTATTGATGCATTTAAACCTTTTAAGGTAAGTTGTTTGAATGCAATTTGAATGAAACCAATATGGATATATTTGAAATCTCGCATATATCTATGCAGATCTTCTTATGTTAATAGATAGATTGTTTTATCAATCTGATCTCGTGCTTGAAAAAAAATGTTCCTATTTGTCAAATAAGGGATTTATCTACTTTAAGAATTAACAATATATTTTAAACCTTCCTCATTAAGAGGGTATTTTGTTATTTCAACATTTTTTAATTAATTGCCTATGCCTCATGGAGGAGGCTCTAGCCAGAATAGACGAATTCTTATTAGGAATTCATAGATGAAGCCATTAAAAGAGCAATAAAAGGCTCTAACGGATGAGTCATTATAATTATATTCTACAACACAACAAAGTAATGCTATAATATAAGCAATAAGATTCAAACATTCTCTATTAAGCACTACTTGTCATTGTTGTACTAGAGAAGTGAGGCTTATTTCGTCCTCCATCAAGCCAATAATATTTCATGAAGGATGTTGTGTTGTAATGAAATACATTCTGCAACACAACATTTTGCATTCTCGGGTTTCCAGACTATATACCATTTCAATAGAGAAATTATTCAAGTTGTTCTTATCACAAAGATTGTTGAGTTTAGTCAGCACAATATAAGATTTACTACCCTTCGAACATATAAGCGGGACTTGTATCTAAATATGACAAAAAAAAACTCAAGAAATTTAGAAAAAAGAAACAGGTGCATACAACATAACATGACTACCAAAAGTATTCATTCATAATAAATTCTTAAGAAAATCAACTAATTTTACAATTTTTTTAATAGTTTTTGATGGAAGTTATACATTTTTATGTGTTTGCAACCTCAATAATTTGCTCCAAAAGATCAATGGAACAGTTGTTAAATATATTTTTTGATCTGTAAATTTCCTTCACATTTCCTTGCTTTACTCTATACATTACCTAATTATAAATCAATTGAATAAAGGGTTGTGCATGAAAGGCAAACGTTGGTGGAATCAGGCGTAAACTAAAGTTTGTTACATGAAGGAATACAAATGGTTGATTTACTTACATACCACTAAATTCATATCAATTTACATATCCAACTCCTAATATTCAATATTTACATATACCACCTTTGTCATGCATTAAAAGATGTATTTCATTTTTTAAAAGCTCGAAGACGAGATATTCTGATGTGATATAAAAGATCTGAATGATTTAAATGTAAGAAATAAAGTTTAGTGAATCACAACCGTATTTAAAAGATTTTTTCATGTTGTTACAAATGTTTTTGTAATCCTTCTTTAATGGTTATTGAGATAATATATATATATATATATATATATATATATATATA